GTGAGGAGCAAGAAGAAGCGAAGGCCAGGCTGACCCGAAGGGAATCAGGCTGACAGAGAAAACAAAGGCAAGGAAGTGCGCACTTAAGAGAACTACAAAGGGGCTATTTTCAGTAGTTCTTGGGCACCCTAACTTTTCTGTGTACTGCTCATCTAAAAAGTTTTCATTATAAATTTAATTACTGGCTGGGGATTTAGCTCAGCGGTTCAGTGGCCTGCCTTGCAAGCGCAAGGACCCGAGTTCAATCCCCAATACCATAAAAACAAAACAAATAAATTTAATTATTGCTAAAAATATTTGTTCTACTGTGAATATTGGCTAAACTATTAAATCACTTTTATAAATCCATCTCGTGGGATATAAACACCCCCACAGCTGGACACCCACCTGTATTTAACCAGTTAGAAATACAGGGGCCGGGGCTTTGGCTCAGTGTTTCCGCCACCTGCCTCAAAAGTGCAAGGGCCCGAGTTCGATCCCTGGTACCAAAACAAAAGAAATACAAATGCCACTTCGTCGTTCCCCATTCCCTGTTGCTGGCCCTGAGCACCACAGACGGCACAATTTACAGAAAGGCAGTAGGGCTGAGGTGTGGCTCAGTGGTACAGCACTTGCCTATGCTATGCAAGGGCTTGGGTTGCATACTAAGCACCGCACACAAAAAGAAGTAAGAGAATAAATCATTACTCAACTCATGGTTCTGAAGGCTGAGGTTCAAGGTCCTCCTTAACGGACAATACAGATGCCCAGGAGGCCGGCCAAGGGTATGATGGGGCGAGCAGCATATTGGCTCAGGTCTCACCTCCTCTGCTTTGGAAGCCACAGTCCCACTGGGTCAGGGTCCCACCCTTGTGGTCTCACTTAACTCCCTTTACCTATCCTGAAGATCCCCTTCCAAATACCACAGCCAGGTTAAGTGAAGATTAAATGGTGCATGAGCCCGAGGGGGATTTACACTGTATCACTATTGAGGAGTCAGACGTTTCTTCTTAAGCATCTATTTCAATTTCCCTCTCACATCTACAATTTTACCCATCCCCCAAAATTTTACCCAAATAGGATTTTAGGCTTGTACCTCTCACTATAACACTGTGCAATTTAAATTTAATTAAATTTCCTGTGACTATAAACTCTTAAGGGCTAAAGGTACTTTTATTCTGGGTTGTATTACAATTACTATTACTACATACCTGATCAAAACAACAGTTAAATGTTGATCATTATTAAAGATGAGGAAAATGTGTACCAGAAACGCATCTCAATTACAGAGAGGGGGCTGGTTCAGGTCTCCATGGGTAAATCCTGCTTACTGTTAAAACAGATTCAAGTGGGCCGGGGATTTAGCTCAGTGGTTCTGCCGCCTGCCTTGCAAATGCAAGAACCCGAGTTCAACCCACCCCCCACCAAAAAATTAAAAAACAAACAAACAGGGCCAGGAATTTAGCTCAGTGGTTTTGCCGCCTGCCTTGCAAGTGCAAGGTCTTGCGTTCGATCCCCAGTACCAAAAAAAAAATTAGATTCAGAACCAATTCCATTTCTACTTTTTTATTTTTACAGACATAAGCAATGAGAAGCCTTATACTCATAAGTAAAAGGGAATAGGGTTTTATAGTAGCAATATCAGAGAATTCTTGAAACTCCTGAGTTCTAATGAACACTTATGTAATGATCTGTTATCAAGAATATTTTTCAGCCAGGTGTGGTGGCACATGCCTGTAATCCCAGCACTTGGGAGGCTGAGGCAGGAGGATCGCTATGAGTTCCAGACCAGCCTGGGCTACATAGTGAGTTCCAAGTCAGTCTAGGTGTGTGGTGGCACATGCCTGTAATCCCAGCACTTGGGAGGCTGAGGCAGGAGGATCGCTATGAGTTCCAGACCAGCCTGGGCTACATAGTGAGTTCCAAGTCAGTCTCAACTACACAGTGAAACCCTGTCTCAAAACACAAAACAACAACAAAAAAGAATAATTTTCAATGATTAACAACTCCGCTGGTTCTTCTTCCAATTTTGTTAAAAGCAAAGAATCAGCCACACATAGTGCACAGCTAAAATCCCAGCACTATGGGAGGCTGAGGCAGGAAGATCACAAGTTTGAATCCAGCCTAGGCAACTTAGTGAATTAGCAAGACTCTGCATCAAAATACAAAGTACAGGAGATGTAGCTCAGTGTGAAGGCCCTTGGTTCAATCCCCATTACCACATTAAAAAAAAAAATTGAAATAAAAATAAGAAAAGATTCACAAAAGTTCTAACCCGCAAAAGGATTTGTTTACCTACTCACAAACTTCCTCAGTGTTTCAAACACATTAGCACTATACCCCAGGGCCCAAAGACGTGAGACTACTCCAATACTACACACCGTGGTCTCGACAGAAGAGCTGAGAGACCTGCGCCCCTTTTGTAGACTTCAAACCTGGCGCGCTCTCAAGCAGTTCAACTTTGGGAAGTAGCTGGGCATAGTGACGCACACCTGTAATCTGAGAACTTGGCGTGCTAAGGCAGGGGGACTGGCATGAGTGCAAGGTCCACGTGAACTACATTGCAAGACCTTGTCTCTAAAAGCGAGAAATACATACAAACATACCCATCAAAAGATGAATTAAATTATGAAACATTCATAAAATGGAATTCATCGCAGAAGAATGAGGTGGAGAAGAATCTCTAAGCTCCAAGTCACACTAGGAAGGTATAGTACCATTTAGGTGAAAATAACACAGATAACATCTATGTATTCATAGAATACACCTAAAAGTAAATAAAGAAAAGAGCATTGTGGAAACCACTTTGGGTCAGAAAGTAAGGAAATGCTCAAAGGCTGGTAAGGTTGTGGCCAGAGAACACAGAAGCCGTGTCTGGGCAGCCACTGACCACTGAAATAATGCCAGGATGGCTGTCAGATATGAAATGAAGACATTAACAGTAAAAACAAGTTTAAAGGGGGACCAAAAAATGTCCAACAATGCAGAAGAAGTGAAAGAATAAAAATCACAGTCAAGAATCACCAATAAAGCTGGGTGGGGTGACCCACACCTGTAATCCCAGCACTCGGGAATCTGAGGCAGGAAGACTGAGCTTATACAGTGAGTTCAGGACCAGCCTGGACTACATATCAAAATCCTGTCTCAACAAAAACAAAAGAATCACCAGGGCACACTAACACTGGGTGCAAAACTGTTGAAGATAAAGGACATTTGGTGAAATATCAAAGGGCAAAGCAAGCAATGTGGTAGGCAACAACTTAACTAAGTTATCTAATTGCCAATCACCAATAACAGAAAAACTGCAGTAGTACCAAGCGCTGCATGACAAAAGGAACCACACCATCTCTTAGGATTCCTGATAGAAGTTTAATAGTACTAGGGACTCAACAAGGCCTGAATACTGGGCTACATTCTCAGCCTTTTTTTTTTAAAGTCAGGTTCCCACTAAGTCTCTAACTTGCCTAAACTGGGCTTGAACTTTCATCCTTCTGCACCAGCCTCCCAGACTGCTGGGATTACAGGCATGTACCACTGTGCGCAACTGGATTCTTCAAATAGGTCAGTGGCAGGAAACATGCAAATATTGTTCTGTATAAGAGGAAACTAAGCAGACATGGCAATTAAATGCAATGTATGATCTTTGCCTGGGTCCTGGATGCAAAACAAAAATCATCTATAAGGCTGGGCATTTAGCTCACTGGTGCCACCACCTGCCTCACAAGCACAAGGTCCCGAGTGTGATCCCCAGTACCAAAAAAAAAAGAAAAGAAAAAAAGAAAAAGAAGAAGAAGAAGAAGAAATCAATTATGAGCACTGGTAGGAATGTAAAACTGCACCTAATGTAGAAAGAGTCCAGCAATTCTTCAGTGATTCTACTGCTAGAGGTACACAGCCAAGAGCAATGAAAACACACACCAGGCGAAAACCTCATTCACCGGTGTTCAGTGCACCGTGATTCACCATGGCCCACCAGTGCCAACTGCCCATTAACTGCCCATGAAGACGAGTAGGTAAATGAAATGTGGAATATATCCATGCAAATACTATTCAGCTATAAAAAGGAACGAACAATACAATGCCATGGAACAGATAGACCTCAAAGTATTACACAAAGTGAGAGAAAACAGAGGTCACATATTACAGGGCATGGGCGTGAAATCTCCAGAGAAGGGAGCACCAGAAGACTGAGGAGGTGAGTGGTTGCCCAGGGCTGGAGGTAGCGGGTGCAGGGATTTGAAACGAAAGAAATGAGACTCAGGTTTAAGGTGTCTCTGGTGTTCTGCAATTACTCTGAAAGGTCATTTAGTTTAAAGAACTCCAAACTTGAAATGTTCATTCATGTATTTATTCCAGTCAAAATAAATCATAATTTAAAGCCATAACTTTTTTAAAATATAAGGGAGAACCTGCGGCAGGGCTACATCAAGACACCAGTCTGCAGTGCAACATTTAGCGAGTGTTCTGTTCCCGTGTTGGAGTAAATACAGGACAACTACACACAGAATTTCACTGAAGACATGGGATGAGGCACATCACCCTCTGAAACAAACTGCCCGATGAGTACAGACAGGCTGCAAATAGTTTCTATTCACATTTTACTAAGGGATGGAAAAACCCTGAAGGTGACCGCCTACTCGTTTCACGCACCTGGCCTGGACACCTGTCTTCCGTCACATGCAGATCCAGAAAAGCTGCAGCACTCCACGCTTAAAACCCAGTCCCGATCCCCAAGGGCCTCAGCACAGGCTGCTGTTAATGAGCCTGTGTGCAGCCTTTCTCTAGAATCTCCAGGGAAATCAGGAGCCTCATCACAGAGTGCAGCACCACTTTTTTGCACAATTGTTTTAACTGTCAAGCTGCTCTCACAGCTGATGAGCCATATGCATTTCATACACCAATACCATCTTCAGACCGTTTTTATAAAAATGTTAAGCAGATCATCCAAGTGAAGAAAAGAAAAAGAAAAATTCAAAGGGTTTGTGCCAAAAAGCCACTGAGTCCTGTGCAGCCCAACTCACTTGTTCCTGGGCTGCGCAGCCTTGTAGAGAGCGATGAGGCAGTAGATTGTCCCACCCAGTGTCAGTGCCATGGTGGTCCGGTAGAGCATCTGGTCAGGCAGGCCCCGCTTGAGGTGCACAGGCAACCCGTCAGGCTTCTGGAAAGCAGTGGGGACAAGGGCAAGGCTCAGAAGGCAGGGTTTACAATTTTAGCTTAATAAAGAACAAACTTGTCTTTGCGAAATTAATCCATAGACACAAGGCAGTGGAAGAAGCCTTAATCCATGAGAACACTCACTAAAACATTAGCGTATTTTCTAAAAACTACACCTAAGTTAATGTTAAGTCCAAAGACATTCTCCAAAGAGTCGAGCAACTGGAAATAACAGAGTCCACATTTCTAAAGCATTTATTATATAGTACTCAATCAGGAAAGAAGGACAGGGGAATTTTTTAAAAAACAAAGGCAATCAGCAGCTAAATTAAGAAGTGCAGGCACAAGAAATGCTCCCCGAGTAGTTCTGCCTTTAGTTTGGCTTCTGACAGAACAAAGGCCATGCCAGGTCAATTAATAGATTCAAATACATTTTTGTATTCAACTGTCTTCGTTCCACTAATGTTAAACCCCATTTAATAATCAGATTCCATAAGATACTTCATTATTTTGCAGTTTCCAAATCCCTTTCCTCCCACTGCACTGCAAGAATCCAAAATGCTCTCTTATACTTTACCAAATAGAGACTAAACTGATCAAAATCAAAGTACTCTAACCCCAAGAGTCAGGCTTTACTCTGGCTATGCTTCTGAGGGAAGCTGCCCTGTAATAACAGTGGTGGCAGTTCTGCTAGGTCACCAAGTTCTCAAGGATTCTCAGCAGAGTAACCTTAGTATTACCTGAAACATCAAACCTGGCTTCTCTCAGCTGAATAGCAAGCCCTGGAGGGCTCCTCTACATCCATCAACATCAACTTTAATATCAAGCAGACAAAAACGATTTGAAGATAACTGTTACTAAAAGTCACTCCATGTGTCACAAACACAATTATGTTCTGCATGATTCTGAGGGTCACACTACACACCACCGTTTTCTCCATGCAGTGGATGGTCAAGAGCACACACTGTACAGGCACTGTGAAAACCTATGCACCCTTAAATGCAGGGACACTAACCACCCTTCCCTGTTGTGATATCTACCCACATAAGGTTCCTACTTTAGGGCTTAAAATATAATTAAGGTTTTTTTGTTTTTTGTTTTTTTTTTTTAGTCAGGGTCTCTCTGTAAGACTTAAAGTCTCACTTTTACTCTGTGGAGCGTGAACAGCCAAAAGACCTCCACGATGCTGAGCCCTAAAGCTCGGCGAGGTTCCAGGAGCTTGTCGGACAGCGAGAGTCACCCAGGAAGGAACACACCAGGCTGGTTGGCAAATAGACCTTTATTAGTCTGGCCAGACAGCACTCCTGGAGCCAAGTAGCTCAGAGGGGCAACTAGCTCAGAAACAGAGGCCATTTTATATAGGGCTATGGGGGGAGTTTACACTAGAAACTTACAGGAAGGGGACAAAGGCAAGTGGTCATCAATCCTGTACTCGACCATTACATACTAATGATCAGCAGATCGATTATCCATTGTTTTATAGATTGTGGTGCTCAGAACATTCAGTTATGGGCAAACAAGGAGTGGAGTGATTTACTTTGGGTCTCTATGTTTATTACAGTTTCTATCTAGTTTCCCAGCTACTCTCAAGCAGTTACCTAGTAATTCACAATTAATCATTACTTATCCTATAAGGGGTGGGGGAACAATAGTCTGTGGGTCATTTGCTGGTCAACATGGAGTCGCTCTAGTTCAGTAAGGCTCTTACATCTCTATGTAGTTCAGGTTGGTTTTGAACTCACTATGTAGCCCAAACTGGCCTGGAACTCACAGAGATCCTTCGGCCTCAGCTTCCCAAGTGCTGAGATTACAGGTGTGTACCACCACGACCAGCTGGGAATTCTATTTAAAGAAAAAGGAAGTTGAGTAATGAACAAGAGTAAGACTCTCGGTTCCAGAAGGGATTTTTTTTTCCCTTTGGTAGCAGGGATCGAACTCAGGACCTTGCACTTGCAAAGCAGGTGGCAAAATCACTGAGCTAAATCCCTGGCCCCAGAAGGGTCTTTTAAAGTCTAATTATTTTACAGACTTTTCTGTTCCCAAGTTTCTTCCCTCACCTGGAAAAACTTCTGCAGCTCTGGAACTTTGTTCTTCCCAGCATAATCATATGCAGGGTAACTAGAGGTCAGTTTAGTAGGTGTGGCAAATATGATAGGCGGTGCTTCTGTGGAAACCACAGGCCTTAATCCCTGGAGGGGAAGAGAGAAAAGCAGCAAGTTAAGTTAGAAGTAGGAGCATCTAACAAACCTTTCACAGAGCAGCCACCTGGAACAGTGCAGGAACCTTTTGGCCTCACTCAAGGGACAGGAGGGATCTCTTCAACCCTGCAGTACAAGCCTTTAATTGGTCCACAAACTTCTGACAAAACACCCCAGCCTGCTTCCCCACAGCAAAGCTGTCAACTCCCTACCAGCCAGATGGCAGGGACAACAAAGGCCTAATCTGAGCTTCCAGAAGTACCTGCTGTGTCTACCTTACCAAACCACTAAAGCACTTATAATCTGTATGAACTTTTAGTTAGATTTCATAAGGGACTTGGGTGTCCCTTTTTTTCTCCAAGTAAGCAATGTACTAACATGGAACGTCTTATCCTGGAGCAGACTGCAGAAACTTCCATAGGCACAGTATAGAACTGTCATGGCTAGTGTCTAGACTTCCCCCCAAAGCCTCTTGTGGTCACAGATGGGGCTTTTCAGAGATGGCTGGATCTAGAGTGAGTGATGCTGAGATTAATGGTGCAATGCTGGGATTAAGGGCCCCACCCTGGATGTCAATGCTACTAGCCGTAAGGGTGGTTAGCCTGGGTGGACTATAAGGGACAGAAAGAGGGCATTTGCACTCATTGTCTGCTGCTGCCTCCTGCCTGCTCCGTGATGCCCCTTGCCATGGTACCCAGCCTTGGAGCCAGATGATGATGGACTAAAACCTCTACAAACTGTGAGCGGAAACATACCTTTCCTCCTTTAACTTTGGGTGTCAGATACTTTGTCTCAGCAATGAGAAAAGTAACTAAGAAAATATCTTCTTGCATTTCAGGATTAAAAAACAAAAAATAAAGAATACAAAAAAACTATAAATTAACTGAAATTTCCAACATTAATAAACTCCTACATTTAAAACATATATAGTAAAAGGCCAGGGATTTAGCTCAGTGGTTCTGCCGTCTTCCTCGCAAACACAAGGTCCCAAGTTTGATCCCCGGTACCAAAAAAAAAAAATATATATATATAATACACACACACACACACACACACACACACACACACACACACATATATGTATATGTGTGTATACATATATATATTAAAAATAAGAGGATGGAGAAGCATACTGATAGATGCAGGCACGAAAGACCACATATTGTATCATTCCCTTCACAGAAGCCCAGAGCGGGGCACTCTGGAGACAGAGAAGACAGATTAGTGGCTGGCTGGGGCTGGGGCTGGGAGAAACAAGTGGCAGCTAAAAAGCATAGGTTTCTTTTTGAGGTGATAAAAATACTCTAAAATTAACTGGTAGTGGTTGCACTCATCTATTAAGCACTAAGAACCACCGGGAGAGTTTGCCCAGACACAGGTTTCTCTATATTGGCGAGGGTGGACTCAACTTCCCTGGGCTCGAGCCATCTTCCCACTTCAGCCTATCAAGCAGCAAGGACTGCAGGTCCACACAATGGCACCCAACCTAAAACCACACTACCCTCTACCTAAATGGGTGGACTGTATGGTACACAGACTATTCTTCTGTAAGATTTTTAAAAAAGAAACTAAGTAGGGCCCAGGGATTTAGCTCAGTTGGTGCCACCGCCTGCCTTGCAAACACAAGGTCCTAAATTCAATCCCCGGTACCGAAAAAGAAAAGAAAAGAAAGAAACTAAGGGGGAATTCTAGATTTTTACATAAAGGAATAAATCTGATGATGAATGTATAGATGGTTCTCTAAAGCCACCTGATAATTAAGGAGGTAAGACATACAAACCACTAAAATTATCCTTTTGTATTACATTCTCACTTGGAAAAGTAAAATTCTAAAGTTGAAAAGTATTTAAGCTTTACAGATAAAAAAGTATTGCCAAAGTAATATAATCATCAACCCTGTGGTTCTTATTTCTCAAAGAAACCGAAATTTACCTATAATTGACAAGGCCTATCCTAAAGTCCAGATATTAAAAACATGAATATTAGGGGTCAGGGATTTAGCTCAGCAGTTCCACTGCCTGCCTCGAAAGCGCAAGGACCAGAGTTCGATCCCTGGTACCAAAAAAACCAATAAATGTTAGTTGGGCAGGGTGGTACATGCCTATAATCCCAGCTGAGGCAGGAGGATCATGAATTTGAGGCTAACCTGAGCTACATAGTGAGTTCAAGGTAAGCCTAAACCACACACGGAGATCTTATAGCTTAAAAAAAAAAAAGCACATCAGTTACTACCACCAGGTAAGCATGAAGATCAACAAAACAAAAAAGTGGTATTAAAATAAATTTGGCTTTGATTTCTTTCCAACACAGTCTAAGTATGAATGCCCTGGTTTTATGATGCACACACCCATGCAGCATACTTTACTCATGACTTAAACTCTGTACTAGAAATACACAATGAAAAAGGCAGCCACCACCTCTACTTCCACCATCATGGATAACAATGTTTCAGAGTACCAGCAGCTCCTATCTATCCCCTCCTTGTTATATTCACAGCATCATGTTAAGCACTGCATGAGCTTTACTGAACTTGATCCTGTCAGCAACCCCAGGGAGAATTTACTGTTCCCACTTTACAGAGGAGAAGAAAAAAAAAACTGGGTCAGGAAAGGTAACTTGCCTAAAATCACACAGCAAAAAGACAAAGCCACACTGGGGACTTAGCTCAGTAGTTCCACCACCTGCCTTGCAAGTGCAAGGTCCCAAGTTGGATCCCTGGTACCAAAAAAGACAAAGCCAAGTTTTTAATCTCAAGCCTCTCTAAAGTCCAGAACCCTGGCTTTAAGTATTCCGCTACTTAAACCTCACACTACCATCAATTACTGCTCAAAAGCCACAATCCACTTAAATAGAAGTCTGGCCCATACGGTGTCAGCCTGCACTTACATTATAACACATTCAAGAGACTCAAAACATGAGAGAGAGAAAAGGAGGCCCAGCTCCTGAGATGACAAGGCTAAGGAGGATCTCTAGTTGGGCTGGAGTGTTAGAACCCCTTCAGATCACTCTGTGAGTTCACGATATGGTCCCCTAATGATCATTCCCCTGAATGTAAAAACGTAAAAACCCATTCTACTGAGCGTCCCTAAAAATGGTTTAAAAGTAAATTCATGTTTTGACAGGACTCAAGTGAGGGCATTTTTAGAACGGATTACATTTCACTTTGTTCACCCATCCAGTGATTCAAAACTACAGCAGGTTTGGAACTGTATCATCAGAAAACAGGAGTATCAACCATCGTGACAGTTTTAAATAATTGCATACTTCCATTTATAACATTATAAAAGTTCAGAATATAGAACTTTGAAGTTATCTATGATCTTATCGCATCAATTTCTATGAATTGTAAATTCTCCCTAATCCTTTTCCACTTATTTTAAAAACTGTATAATCATGGTGTAAAATTCTATATTTTTTTTCACTTATAATCATTTTTTCATATTCCTAATCTTTGTAACACTAAATTTACTTTTCACAATGACCCTGTAAATGAAGTATTATCAGCCCATGTTAGAGATGATTAAAACATGGCCCAGAGATTTCTTTTTTTTTGGGGGGGGGGTTGGTTTTTTTTTTTTTTTTTTTTTTTTTTTTTTTTTTTT